TCCTTGGAAGAAATGTAACGTAAATCACAAATACAGTTGAGCCTTAAACAACACAGGTTTGAACTGCATGGGTCCACTTAGATGTGGATTTTTTTTTCAATAAAAGATAAAGCTAGTGTGCCTGCCTCTCCTGCCTCCCCTTCCACTTCCTCCACCTCTTCCCACTCTGTCACCCCTGAGACAGCAAGAATAACCCTCCTCTTTTTCCTCCTCCTCAGCGTACTCAATGTGAAGACAAGGATGAAGACCTTTATGATGATCTATTTCCATTTAGTGAATGGTAAATATACTCTTATGATTTCTTAACAACATTCTTTTCTCTAGCTTTATTGCAAGAATATAGTATATGATACATGTAACATTCAAAATATGTGTTAACTGATCATTCATGTTATTGGTAAGACTTCCAGTCAACAGCAGACCATTAAAAGTTTAAGGGGAGTCAAAATTTATATGCAGGTTTTCGACTGTATGTGTGTGGGGGTGTCAGTGCCCTAGCCCTGCGTTGTTCAAGGGGCAACTGCAATAATAATAGGAAAAATAATAATACTAATCTGTAGTGGAAGTCTCTCTGAACAAAATTTTTGCAAAACTTATGTAAGAATGAAAGAAGGCAGGATGCATATGACTGAGAAACCCATCACCCTGTATTCCTTATATCTAGCTCTTCTATTTTTTCCTAATTTTTAGAAACTGGTTAATGGTATACTCTGGGGTAAAGGGAGGCCAGGTAGGCAAGATTAAAGAGTGCAGGCTGACCAAGAAGCAGTGCCAGAATTGTTCCTGAAAGGAAGGTCAAGTACAGTCAGGCAGAGTTTAGGAATGAAGAGATGGTTCAGGTGACTGCTGCTGTTGCTGATATTCCCCAAGACTGACTCATTTCTGCCTTCATCTTGATCTGTAGAACAAGGAGATTTACTTCACTCTGAGGCCTGCGTGAGACTTCAGGCTCAGTATGGAGCTGGGCTGAACTCCTTGGTCTTAACCTTGTGGGGACTCAGCTCTGAGCAAAACCTGGAGTCCTGAGAGACTTCAGACAGGAACATCCCTGGGCTGGACCAGCACTCACAGGGAAGGTCTGAGACCAGCTCCATGGGTCACAGGCCTGGGTGTAGGTCACATTCACAGGGAAAAAGGAAGAGCTGAGACAGACCTGAGGGTGGAATCGGGAGATGGGAGGAACACAGTGTGGTGATTTTCACATGACCGGAGCTTTGCTGTCTAGCTCACGGAAGGCAGGCAAATGGCAGGCTCAGGATAGAGCCCAGAAGAGAAGTCTGGCCGTGGATTCGAGATGCCTTGGCCTCTTTTTGGTTATGCTCTCTGTAATAAGTTTTCATCAGCCATCCATCCTGGAAATGCCATATTTAAATTGGAAAGAATCTTAGAAGTTGCCTGGTCCAACCTCCCAATAATAAAAAATATCCTGCTGTGTTTAAAGAGCTGGTCAGGCAGTCTCTGCTTGGTTATTTACTGTGACAAGGAGTTCAATACTTTCTAAGGCATGCCTGTTACATTGTAAGCAAGGCCAGAAAGATTTTTCAAATCTTAAAAGGAAATCTGTCTCTTAGTTCTTGCTGAAAAGCTGGAAATAATGAGGATTCCTTCAAATGTAATATTTTCTGATCATTGTCCCTCTCTGCCAAATAAGTCCCAACTCTTAAAATCCATTTAACAAAATTCAGCTTTGATTTTTAAAATCAAAATTACAAGTATATAGTCATTAAATAGTCTAATAGCTCTAGAAGGCTGGTTATAAAAAGGAGCAGTCCCCTACCCCCTCACCTATTTCCTGCTGCCCAGAAGCAGTCACTTTAAACTCCTATAGTTGATGCTTAGAATATTTACTTTCCTATCTCTAAATAACATGCAAGAAGTGCTGCTTATTGATTTTTCAGTTTGGTGCATCACCTATTGACTTTCTATTCTGGACAACGTGGATTAAGCTCTCTTTCAACCCCTTGCCTCATCTAAACATCCACATCTCTATTCCTGCCATCCTCACATAGTTACAATATAACTTTTGGTTAGATTCATATTCTTGCTTTACATTATTATGATTCTATAAACACTATTCACAGCTGAATCAAGTCATTGCTATAATTACTTTTTCCTCCCTGCTCAGTATCTTGTTCTCCCTAGAGTTAATAATTGTCTTGATGGCTCATTGCTTAGTTTTGTGTACTTATCAACAATTCAACCCCAGACTCTCCCCTAATGTGTCACTTTCTCAATAGTTTCAAACACATGAGATCATCTATCAGTTTCAACTCCTTGAATAAATGTCCTCAGACCTCCAACCTTGACTAATGACTCTCCAAGCCCCGCCACAGAACTGTGTCACCTGGGATCTCTCTGTCCCTCTCTCTTGTGCTGGCATTTCCTGTTAACTAACTCTTAGGTCTTCTTTCTTGGTGGAGCACCTCCTCCATTACCTTGCACATCTAAACTGTGAAAATTCCTCATACTTAACAGTTTGAGCAAACATAGAGTTACACATATATGGTCAAACTTTCCTTAGACATGTGAAGTCACTGCTGTCTTTTAGTGTGTAGTGTCACTGAGAAGCACAATGCTTTTGAGTCTTCATCCTTTGTATGACTTTCTTTTCATTTTGCTTTCTAAAGGCTAGCAGGATCTTCTTTGTCCCCAGTGTTCTGAGCCATCGTGTTGGAGTAACTCAGTGGCTCTATTTTCATCCTCTAGGCTGGGTACTCAGCAGGCTCTTTCCACCTAGAGACTCATGATGTTCAGTTCTTCAGATACTTCTCTGGAAGTACTTCTCAGATTTCTTCCCTACATTTTTTATCCTCTGGTTTCTCACACTCCTATTATTTATACATTGTACCTCCTGGACTGATCTAATTTTTTGTATCCTTCCCTCTTTTCTATCCCTTTATAAATTTTGCTCTATTGCTCTGCTAAGTTCGTCAAACTTCAGTTTTTCTAATGGCTTCTATTGGTGTTTTCTGTCTAATCACATTTTCAGTTTCAAGAGCTAGATTTGTATTCTCACAACAATCCTTTCTTATAGGATCCTGCCCTTTGTCTTGGTGAATACCCTATTTTCTTTTATTACTCTGGGGTAAAAATGGGAGTTTGGGGGAAACTTTTCTTTTTCACCTGTGCAAAGTCTGGTTCCATAGGGTGCTGTTTCCAGTTTTGGTTTGCTTGTTTGGGAAACCAAATGGAAGAGCCCATTTTCTTCAGTAATTCCGAACCACAGATGAGGTTATGCCTGAATGTTCAGGGTTACTAGTGAGAAGCAATGAAGGGAAGAACATGTGGACCAGGGACAGGGGACAGTTAAATGCATTTCCCCTAGCAAATATATTTAAATAGGTCGCGAAATTTTCTTTACTGAAGCAAAAATAAATATAATAAAAAATGAGGCACATAAAAATGATTAAGAAACATCACTCTGCGATCAGATGCTATGGGCTTAACATAAAGGAAATTAATAAATGGAAACTTCCATGAATGTACCCTCAGAATATTTTACTTATGTACAAACATCTTTTAAATCTTATTTTACAGGGTAAACAGAGTTATGAAAGTGCCTCTTCTGATGTAATCTCGGTGATTGAATGACAAGGGGAATCCAGTGTGATTACATAAAATAAAGAATCTCTTATGAACAATGAAATCTAAGCAATGATTGCTGTAGATGCTATCATCACCAAAAAGAGAGACAAATGGACATTATATACTTCTGATATAAGTGACCTATCCACGGTATACGATATTTTGTATAAACTAACCTCCATCAGATTAAGCTTCTAGATGAGGATCAATTTTCTTAGCTAATGCAAATTCCAAATTATGTAGTCAGTAGCAAATACAGAGGAACATGTTCAACAACACCACAGGAGAGAATTGAAATCAGCAAAACAGGGATGCAAGGCATTCTTTCAACAACAGCAAGGAAACAAGAAATAAACAGGTGAAAACTGAGACCAGAAGAAATTTTGAGAGATTGTATTTAACGGCACCTCGTTGACACGGATGTTTTGGTTCCTGCTTTTGACTAAAAAACCATTAAGTTGTTTGTCGGGGACCATAAGGGAAATCTGAGATCGCTGATTATCTGATGATATTATATTTTTTTTTTTTTTTTTTGGGACCAGGGTCTTACTTGTTGTGCCCTAGAATGCAGTGGCACAATCATAGGTTACTGCGGCCTCAAACTCCCTGGGGCCTCGAGCAATTCTCCCCATCTCAGGGTTCCCCTGGAGTAGCTGGACTCACAGGTGTAAGGCCATCATGAGCTGGCTTTTTTTTTTTTGTTTCTAGACTCGAATCCAACTATGTTTGCTGCAGTTGGCTCAGCGATCCTCCTGCCATAGCTTCCTAAAGTGCTGGGATTAGAGGAATGAGTCACCTCACCCAGCCTTCCTTTTCAAAAGGGGGTATTCTGGTTATGTTTAAAAGACACCTTATTTAGAAATAGATGCTAATGAAATGATATGACATTTGGAGTCTGCTTCAAAATGATCCAGTGGAGTAGGGAGGGAAAGAAGTGGGAGTAAAAGTGAAACAAGATTAGCTATGAGTTTATAATTTTTGGAGCTGGGTGACAGATGAATGCAGGCTCGCTATGATACTCTATTTCTGTATATATTTGAAATTTCCCATGGAAAATGTAAAACAAAACAAATATTCATTTGTTTAAAACTTTCACTTTTAAGGTCTAGTAGTTTTCTCAAGTAGGTGGCAAGTGCACGGGGCACTGAGACACCATAAAAAAACAGGTACGTGACCCAGGCAGACATGAAGTTAATTCTCCTCTCCTCTTCACTCTCCACATGCAATCCATAAACAAGTCCTGTTGACTCGACTCCCCAAACACATCCCAAATCTGCTCCCACAGTCTCTTGCCTGGCTCACTCGAACAGCCTCCTACCTAGTGGTCTCCCTGCTTCCTGTACCCCTTATAATCCATGCTCCACATTATCTTTGCAAACTGTGAATAGGATACAATGACTTAAACATTTAAAATATTACAACTGCTTCTCACTGCAATTAAAGTCTAAACTCTTTTCGGCACTCCTGCCACCCCTCTAACTTCATGTCTTATCATTCTCTTTCTCACTAGCACTGGTCTTTGATGTTTCCTCAAACTTGCCAAATGTGTGTGCATCTCAGAGCCACTGTACAAGCTGCTCCTATTCCTAGAAGGACTTCTCCCAAGTCCTCAAAGTACTGACTTCTCTTCACAATCCGGTCTCAGCTTAAATGTCACCTCCTCAAAGATGACTCCCTAAACTCACTTCCCACTCTGCCCTCCCATCCTATTGCTCTGCTATTTTCTTCACTTCAATTAGAAATTCTGTTTATTTATTTTCATATTTTATTGGTGTTCTTGGTCTATCTCCCACAAGCCAGTATCCTCAGCACTGCCCAAACAATGTAAGCTTCTGGAGGAAAACCAACAGCGTACTTTGGGAAGAAAAACTCTTGAGCTAGTCATTGTATCTTGTGGGAGACAATGAAATAGAACCTAGCAGCAGACACAAGAAAAGAGTAAAAATGCATATGTCTTACCATACAATAGAGGCTACATCTAACATTTACTTCTGTGCAATATGGAATTTGGTGGGTCTGCATCCCAGTTCCTGGGTGGGAGGTAACCTCTAAACCCTTGGAACTTCCTGAGAGACAGGAGTGCCTTTTTATTCACGGTGGAACCCTAGGACTATGCCTGATAGTTTATGCCAGTGAAGTGGCTCATGGTGGGCCTCTAGAGAGTTTGTGCTAATGAGATGACTCAGGGTGGAGGCTGGCCATGCTAGAAAGATCAACCATACGATTGGAGAACTGGAGCTTTGAGCCACATATTACTGGCCATCTTCCAGGGAGAGGATGGTACTGGAGATTGAGCCACATGGGTAATGATTCAATTAATCACACCCACACAATTAAGCCTCAGTAAAAACCCTGGCCAACGAAGCCCAGCACTCTGGGTCAGCTCCCTTAGCTGGCAAGAGTCTTGATGAGTACTGTCACATTCAGATGCTGCGGGGTAACACACTGAGTGCCTCCCCCTGGAGTACTCCCTACAACCCCTCACCTGATAAGATCCAAGGGCTGCTTTTTGTATATGCTTCGAGGATGAGCCCATTCTCTGTACAGAAGGTACCGTTCATTAGGGCAGCTGGGATCCTCTGACTGACGGCGGAATTTGCACTGTGACGCAGAAGGGAACATGTGAGCACCATAATCATCATGTTTTCACAAACCTGTTTCTTAAATGTGATACAAATATTTGATAGTCAATTGTGAATAAGGGGTCCTCACCTGCTGGAAGGGGTGGAAATACCATCTAATTTTTAGTGATTCTTAACCAGGCATGGTACTAGCCTCCCTGGGGGTCATTTGTGAATGTGGGCAGGATGAATGACTCGGTGTTACAATCCTGGGGAGCACTGCAGGGACTCTGTGAGGGCCCCAGAGATGCTTAAAATGCTTTCAGTGGGGGCAGTCCTACACAATGAAAAATTGGGCCACCCAAGTGCCCAAATCACTGCACCAGAGGAACACGGGATAGCCCACCCCTCTCCACGGACAATGGGGAAACCAGGGCCTTGGCTGGTTAACAGCAGGGTCAATTCTAAAACCTAGGCTTCTTTGCCCCCAGTTCAGCAGTTATTCTGTGATAACAGATAGAAAAAAAAATAACAAAGCTTGATATCATGTTATACCTTAGCTTATTCAAGAAACAAAACTTCCTGCTTAAATCCAGTTGTCTTTTTTCCTAACTCATTTTTCTTCTTCTGGCACTAGAACCAGATTACCACCCAGCCAAATCAGGGCATAGGCCCTGACCTTCACACATCTCCCTCTCAAATACCACAAGGGACCATCTGTTAGCCTGAATACAGGACCACTGCAATTAGAAGAGGCTTTAGTGGGAAAGACCTGGCCAAAAGCAAATGTCAACTGCTATAGAACCTTGGCACCCCAAATTAATATTCGTGACAGCTATTTGCAAGCAGCCTCAAAACTCATGTCCTGCTATTAGCAATTAGCTAAATTCAGTGGGGTACAAAAGTAAAACACATGGACTCTCAGGCTGGATGGCTACATTGGGTCTCTTAGGATCAGTATTTACTTCACCCAGCTCCCTGTTCTCTACTTTTCCATGTGTGTCAAGCTGCTGTTTAGTGTCCTAGTTTTATTATGTTATTTAGTACATTTCAATATTGTCTATCCACAAATACATGTACTACACAGTAGCAATTACCAGTATCAGTCTTTGCTTTCTTTGGTCTTACAGAGTCAGATGAATTGATAGTGAATATAACAAAGTAATAATGCAATATAATATAGTACTTATTTCAATGATGGAGTTGTAAATGTCCCTGCATTTACAGTGGTCACATTTTAAAAATTTCATTTCACGAGAGATGTTCTCGGCTAGGGAAGTACTCTTGAATTTGAGGGGTTGCCGTAATCTCAGAATATAGTCCTTAAAAGAATGTCAACAATCTGGGGTACTGCCATTGTCACAACAACCCTGACAGATGCCTTTTTAAAAGCCCAGGGATATTCCAGGGGACAGTTTGAAAATCATATTCCAAATGAGGAAGTAAAGTCTATGTTACAGAAAATGATAAATAAGAAGGTCTAACATGTATTTTGCTGACAAAGAACTAATTTTTTTTGGTTGATAATAACACCTGTTAGTAATTATGAAAACAGCTAACACTTATAATAGTATTTATTATATGCTAGGGACTAACATTTGGATTAATTTAATGGATTAATTTAAAGCTCTTAACAACTCTAGGAGGTAGGTTATAATTTATTCCCAGCTTATTGATGAAGAAATGGAGGAAGAAAGGCTAAATGACTTTCACAAGGTCATCTAGCTAGAAAGTGGCAGGGCAGGCATTTTGGTCCCAGAAATGCTAACAGAGATTAACTGCTAATCTATACTGCTTTACACATTAACTGTGAGAGAGGTACTGTCCATTCATTCATTTGCTCCTTTAAAACTGAGTATCTTTATGACTGGGATCCATCATCTGTGAACAAAAGACCTGGTTCTTACCCTAAATGAGCTTGTAATCTTGCAGTATGTTCCCTTCATTTTATTGAGGAAGAAACTTACAGTCAGGAAAGTTAGCCCTTTGCTATTGTCAACACCAGAGTATACAGAAGGCCTTTTAGTTCATTTTTGCCTTTTAACTTACATCATGGAGTGGGAAAGCTGCTTTGTAGATCCCAGAGTTTACAAGTCTGTTGATCCCAAACTTGCTAACATTGTTTATCAGTTGATACTTGACTCGAGAGAGGATGAAGTAAACCTAAAAAGATTCCAAAATAGAGTATGTGGTTTATACAGTGTAACTAGCCAATCCAATCATTGTTTACTACTGTAACATGAATCTGCTGGCATATTTCTTTTCTTTTTGTGCAGTTTTTAAAAATAAAACCAAACCAACCAAACCACAAAACAGCAGGTTCCAAATTACCCCAAGACAGCAACTAAATGTGGTTTAGACTTACAATGCGGCTTCTGGTGGCTGGATTGAAGAAAGCATCTCTATCAACAATGTAAAAATCATTCATCCGGTTCTTCTCAAATGGGGCAGTGAAAAACTCTTGCTCTGGCTTGATGATGCTTTCATCTACACTGAGGACTTTGGTAAACCAGTTGAGTGTACCAAAGGCCGAGGACCGGTTTTTCAGATCATTGGGTTTCAGAGGCAATTTGATATGCATTATCTCAGCATAAGTACATAACACCTCCCACGGTGCATGTACTTTTACAAATACAAGCTTGTCATCCAAAACCTATATTGAAAAAATAAAAACACAGAACAAGAAACCAAACCAACTATTTTCACAATTTTAAAACACACAGATTTTTCTTATGTTGTTGGTAGCTCAAAAAAAAAAAAAAAAAATACAGAGAACACCAGTAAAAGTGAAGATAACAATAAAAATAGATTTGCAAACCATCAAAAATTTTTGCTTTAAAGACAATTTCTTGGTTTGAATCATTAAGATATTCAAATAATCAGTTTATAAAACTATGAAAATAATTTATAAAATGAAGAAAACCAAACTTATTTGTCTATCACTCTACCCAAATAATTGACAAAGTAAAAACACTAGAATATTCATTGTAGTGCTATCATAATGAAAAATTTTTAATTTTCTAAACTTTGAACTGTCTATTGTCTATCTGTTCAATATCATATTATGTGGCTGTTAAAAATGTCAAAGAATTATGTTTATTGCCATAAATCCATTTGCTACATATTAAAGGGAAAAAGCAAATTATAAAACTGTGAAGTGGTAATTTTCTCCTTTTTGAAAGATAAAAAATGTGTATATATATATTTTTTTGAGGAAAACAGCTCAGAAGGACTGCAAAATTATTTATGGATCATTAAGATACAGATTATTTTCCTTATTCTTATGTTTCCTAATATTTACCATAAACTATTTTTTGTATAACAGAAAAGCTTTTAAAAGTTTCTTAAAGGCAGAAAATAATCATTCATACATGCATTCATTGTAAAATTCGTTGGCTATTAAAAAAGATCTGCTGGTTTTGATCAGAAAAAAAGAATACATTCTATACAATGCAGATTTTCATTGACTCCTCTCCCAGTCTATGACTAAGATGTGGCCAGGGCTGCGTGTTTCCAATGTCACCCCAGTATTCCAAGTGGCACGAAGCTGCCCAAGAACAGTGGTCAGCCAAGGGCTGAAAAGGGACCAATACTTACTGATCTTGTTGCTTCTAACTGCAGGCCATGACAGATAAGGTTAGATTCGTATGCTTGTCTTTTCCTCTGTCAAAAGAAATTGGAATATGTTAGACCTTTAGTTTACCAAAGGCAGAAAAAGGCATTTTTTAAAACGATATTAATAACAAAACCAAACTAGCGTGGACCTGAAAAAGAAATTCATCAGCTCCAAATGGAACAGAAGCAATGAAGCAGCTCTTGCTGCTGGTGACGTCTGAGTGTTGGATCCCCAAGAGAATGCCGTGGAGGGTAGTTCGATGCCCTGGCACCCTCACAGGCCCTGGGCTGTCCTGGTGGGGTTTCAATCATCTGAGGTAAATAACAGTATCCTGCTTTGACACAATCCCATGTACTTTTTGGCTCACAAAAGCATACAAATTGAGCTTTCTGAGTCCTATTCACTGATACGAGTTTTCAGAGTTGAAGATCCCAGATTTTAAAAATTTGATTTCCATACCATTCAAATGGTTTAATTACTGGATGTGTATGCGTTATCCCTGCATATCTTGACCAAATTAAATAAAACAACACAGGCAATTTTGGCAAAATTCAGAGAATTTTTTTCTGTCTGCAAGACTGAGATGTTTGCGAAGCTATAAATGTCTAAATCTATAAAAATAGTGAACTAAATCTATATTACATAGCCATTTCAAAAGATACAGAATTTACTACACTTATCGATATTAAATTTTAGATGTCTAGGCTTTTGCCAAGCTGAGCCCAAAGTTGTAAGGGAAGCATGCAAAGATGGAGACTTGTTTGACCTTTTAAAAAGAATGTTTTTCATGACAAAATAGTTTATACTGCTTTGTGAAATGAAGAAAATGAGTAGACACAGAGGTTAAGAACACAAGCTTTGTTATGGTTTAAATATGTCCCCCCAAAATCATGTTAGAAACTGAATCCCCAATGCAACAGTGTTGAGAGGTGGGGCCCACTGAGGGGTGATCAGGTCACAAGGGCAGACTTAACAAATTAATGACATTATCACAGGAGGGGTTTCATTAGCATGGAATGGGCCCCTTATAAAAGTTTGGCCCCCTTTTGTTTCTAACCCCCTGCCCCATTTTTGTTTCTCCCCACCACCTCTCTCTCCCCCACCACTGTGGGGGTGACACTGCAAGAAAGTCCTCACCAGATGCCAGCCCCCTTGATCTCAGACTTCTCAGCCTACAGAACTGTGAGCCAATCAATTTCTGTTCTTTATAAATTAGTCTGTGGAATTCTGTTGCAGCAGCACAAAATGGACTAAGATGAGCTCTGTAACTATACTTCCTGGGTTCGAAATCTGAATTTATTATTTGTCAGCTCCATGACCCATGACAAGAAAATTAAACTCTTCATGCTTCATTTTCTTCATCTGTAGAATTAAGAAAACCCACTTGTTTCCTTTTTAGGGTCTTGTGAAGATATGATTTAAACTACGTAAAGCACATGAAGTAGAATTTTCATTTACAATAGTGGCGAAAGGTAACTTGGAGCAAGCCTTACACTGAAGACAGCTGAAAAAGCTGGGTGGAGTATTTAGCACAGCAGTTAACAAGATAGAGAGGAACTGCTAGGTCCAGGTCGAGATCATCTAGTGGGTCTGGCAGTCAGGCACTTTACCCAGGGAGCAGTACTCATGATCTGCCCACTCTAAAGGGACAGAGTGGGGATGAGCTGCTGTGCTATGCACAGGGCCTAGAACATAAAAAACATCCCATTAACTAGAAGTAGGTGAAGCCGCAGGAAAAAGATCAAAGGTCAAAAATTAAAAGAATATACTTGGTATTTGGCTAAATTTGAGTCCAAGTGGAATCCCTGATGTATTGTGTAGAAGTATCAGAAAAAGAATATTGCTTTGTTTTTATATCATTAATAAATGGTTGTACAGTACTTAAAACATGCCAGACACTGTTCTAAGAGTTGTACAGATATAGTACATTTAACTGTTTGCTGCAATTTGAACGTACAATAGAGTAGCAGAGGAAACCAGCAAGCAGTATAACTTCCCTAAAAACAAACAAATGGCCTAGAAATGCCCCACTCAGATAGTGGTTAAGGAGAGTTTCAGGTACAGCTCTCCTACTCTGCTCCCCGCAAATGACTGTTCCCTCTGGGTGTCCCCATCCCCGCCATCTCTGCAATTCATCCTGAGAAGTTCTTCAGCACTTTCTACCTCTGACCCACCATATTCCCAACTTGAACTTGAAAGTTGACTCAGATTCATTCTACTTCTTATCTAAGCAGTACTTCTTCCCTCTAAATCCTAATACTCACACTGTGATTCTTATATAGGAGCCCAGTCCTTATTTCTGATTGATTACCTCTTTATTACTGGGTAAAGCATTTTGATCCCACAGTGTCCATCAGTATATGCCTGACATGGTTTCGATTTGTGTCTTTGTCCAAATGTCATGTCAAACTGTAATCCCCAATGTTAGGAGAGGGGCCTGATGGGGGGTGACTGGACCATGGGGGCGGATTTCCCCCCTTGCTGTTCTCGTGATAGTGAGTTCTCACGGGATCTGGCTATTTAAAAGTGTGTAGCATCTCCCCTTTGCTCTTATCCTCCCGCTCCAGACATATAAGATGTGCCTTCCTCCTCTGCCATGATTGGAAGTTTCCTGAGGCCTCCCCAGCCATGCTTCCTGTACAGCCTGCAGAAGTGAGCCAATGAAACCTCTTTTCTTTATAAATTACCCAGTCTCGGGTTGTTCCTTATAGCAATGTAAGAACTAATACAATACCTAACACATATTTGTTGAAAGAATATACTCAACAAGCATTAGTTCATTTACAAACATTTCTTGAGTGCGTTCTATTTTGCAGGCATCCTGCAAAGTGCTGGAGACTGAAAGAAGAATTTAAATTAGTCTGTTACAGAGGAATTATAGAGAAACTTAGTGTCCAGTGACCTAAGACTTTCTCCCAATACAGAATGACTGAAACATTTATTCACGTGCTTCCTGGCACTGTAATGGACATCTGTCATTCTTTATGGCCACTCATTTTAAACTCCTACCAGAGCCCACATCCACTATAGCAGATAAAAACACAGACACTCCTTTTCCTGGTCTCCCATGAAATTCAGCTACTGGCACTTGAGCTAGGCCCTGCCAACCAGACTACCTGGCTCCAGGCTCCAAACTGAATGCTAGTGATGCAAAGCAGCCAGGCCCAGCAGAATACATTCTGCGGTGGCTAAGAGAGCAAATGCCAGTTCCAGAAATGGTAGAGGTTATGGCAGGAGCTTCCCATAGCCACTGCTAGTCAGTGGTACCAGCGGTGCTGGCAGCAGCCCTGTGCTCAGGACAGCAACTGTGCTTTTTCTCCTGCAGCAGAATTTAAGGTACTGCTTCTGGCTGCGTATCTCTAAGCTTATTTATCTAACCCTTCAGGAGAATCTGTGAGTTCTCTAACATTTTTCTGATAAACTCTTGATATGCTTAAATTACAGTTCATTTCTGATACCGGTAAGCAAGAATCCTGACTAACAGAGAGGCCACAAACTAGGGAAAACATGTTAGCCCAAAACCTAAAACATGGTACAGTAGAGGGAGGGAAAAGGACCGGCACCGTGACATTCTTTCCTTCAGGGGAGATGACTCACTCTGAGGCTGTACAAAGGGCAACCCAGATGGTCTCACTAGCAGATCATAGCAGGATCCATGCCTGTGTCTTTGGTATCCTCTAAAATTCAGTCATGAATTTCAGTTAGCATGTGAAAGCTCAGGCCCAAGAATTTTAGCTCTTGGAGACAAATGTCTTCATTAGAAGAGTAGGAGAATCAGTCAGAAGAGGGTCTTCTCCAGTGGCTTGATGGGTGCTTTAACAATTAAGTGCTGGTAGGAAAAAAAACCATGTAACTCTGTTCAATGGCCTTATTATAAATTCATGATTCCCATCGCAGTTAGCCTGTCTCCTTCCCGGCCCCTAGCTATCCACTAGGGAGCTGTTCCAAACATTTAAGGTGCTCCTTGCACTCATTACCTAACTTCCAGCCCAGCATGCTCTGCAGGTGACCTCACCTGCTTCCTTACACAGAAAAGGGCAGCCACCCACTGGAAACTCCTGCCAGTCTCTTTCTTTCTACCTATGAACAGCTGGGCACCACCTCTCTTCTTGGTGTCAGAAGTCCATCCTTTCATCTCTCTTCTTGAGCTTACTTTGGCAATACCTCCCATTTTTCTCTTCATTGCTTTTACTCCTCTGCCAAAAAACACCTTAAATGTTTCCCAGTCTTAAGAACATTAAATCCTCCCATGGCCCTGCCTGCTGTTCAATTACTGCCCTCACTTCAGAGATGTCTTTTAATCTTGATATCATTAAGACTTAAAACAAGCCTATAACAGAGTAAGCATGCAATAAATGTCTAATGAATGAATAAACTGAGTGAATGGTGGATCGATGACTGCCTGTTACGCCAGAATGAACTAGGGAGTATAAATTGCTGCAGTGCAGCAACTGGGCTCCTTTGTTCTGAGCCCCCCATATTTTCCATGTTCTTTTACTTATGGGTATTACAGGACATGGTGTAGAAAGAGAGATGCAGCTTAATTCTGCAGTACACCAACACCAGATAGATAGCACAGGGACATCCACAGCATGAAGTGATTCCTGGACGCTTCAGAATTTGAATTACCAGATGACAAAAGAAATGAGGTTTAGAGAGCCCAGAATGAGCCAGCCCCACATGAGGGCAGTTATGTCAGACATACCAAACACAAAATATTTCTGTCTGGGTTGTATCAGCTGTATCAGCTATGAATGCAACATGCTTAATAGTGCAAGTCAGACATGTACCTTCTTGGTGGAGTTTCTAAACTGAGGCTACAACTCATCACCTTCAAGGGACTCTCTCTTCTCGGATTTTGTTCTAACAAATAGCCCCTGTAGTTCTTGCAGTTTTGGTTTTCCTGTTACTCCTGGGCATAGTGGTTAGATTCTGAGTCAAAATTGAAATCCTGGCTCTGCCATTTACTAGCTCTGTGATGTCTGGGCAAATAATCAGCTCTATAAGCATCTATTTAGTTTCATCTAAAAAACTGAAGGGAAGAAAT